TATTCCACTGCCTGGTTGGTTGCTGGATTGCATTAGCATAGAACTTCTTGCGATTCTCGTACCCTCTGCTATAGCCTGACTGTGGTTCGTTAGTGGTGGCTTTTGAACGTTCGGGCTGCTTTGCCGAATAGTTTTGCTCATAAGCGGCCTCTTCTACTTCTTCGGCGATGTAAGTATTAGCTTGGTGTAATGCATCCTCCAACGTCTGTGGGGGGTTGTGCGTAATCGCGCTCCGGAAGATAGTCTTTATCCGAGCTCCTTTCTGAAGACATAAGAGGGCGGCTTCATCACTGGTCGTACAATTGGCGACAATCGTCTTAAAGCGCTGGATGAAATCGCGAAGGCTCTCGCTTGCTCCTTGGGCTATTTGCCAGAGCTCGGAGTTCTTGGTGTTCTGTTCGATGAACATTGAGAAATGTTTAACGAAGGCCGTCGTCAACTCCTTATAGTTATCTATCGAGTTCGCCTCGAGTCGTGAGAACCAGTCAAAGCTACTCCTCCTAGACTCTCCACAAACAGTTGGCACTGAACCGCATCCCTCTCCTCGGCGGATTTGAACTGATATCGATTCATGCAGATGCCAAATGATGTCAAAAAGTGCCGGGGGTCGGTATTGCCTTCATAGATCTTCATCTTGAGTTTATCCATATGTTTGACCGGCGTTCCTGCTATGCGCGGCGTAAAGGGTGTCTTTTGTGTTTCCTGAATGACGCGCTCGATTTCTGGAGTCGCGCTTGTTGCTTGATGAATTTTTGAAGTGAGAGCAGCTCCAATGGGGGGATGAGGAGAGTCTCTAGTTGCTGTTTTAATTAAAAAGAAAAGTTTTAATGGTGTTTTTAAGCAGAACCGTTTCTAATTTAGTAGTTTGTAGAGACTCATTAGAGCCTCTAACATGTCATGTTATGATTGGTTTGATGTTTTTTAATTTTTTTTTGTTTTTTTTTTTATTGAAACCCTTTATCTCTAAAAAAAAGTTTGAATACATGGGTTTTTGTTGAGCATGATCAATTAAAAAAATATTTAGTTGAGCATTTATGGAATATGTTTGGTATAACTCAAGATTACAACTAATCTTATTATTTCCGGTTTATAATTTGCATCTCTCTTTTGTTTTGTTTTTCTCTATTCTATGTCTAAATTTGTATTAATAAAATGTTTGTATTTGAAAAATTACAAAAAAAAAAAAATTATTAGAGACTCCATTAAAAGACTACCATTGGCCACTAAACCAATAAAAAAATTATTAAAAGGTTCTAGTGTATTAAAGTGAATAAAAAACTATTAAAATCAAAATTAGAACCCCTTATTAAAGACTATGGTTGGAGGTGGTCTGATCTCGCGAAGTTGTGCCTTCATCGACTCGAATTCGGCGTCGCGACTTAGATCCGGTGCTGGTGCGTTTGCTGATCCGACAGCAGTGGACCTCATAGTTCCGGCTGGATCACCATCAGTATTGAGGTCGTCGATGATGTTCCGAACTCGAAGTGGAGTTCGTGCTTGACTGAGCTCGGCGATTTTTGTTGCCATCTGACTGAAACGTTCTTCGCTCCTTTTGTTAATGGCCTCGAACTGAGCGTTGAACACTTGGAGCAGTAGTTCTGTTCCAAAACCTCCTACGGCTGCGAGAGTTTGGCTGGCTTCAGCCCCAGCGTTTTCTCCAGGGATTCCTCCTGTTTGCTCCGCAGGGTTTCAGACGTTGCCATTCTCTTCGCCGAGAGGGTTTCCTTCCTCATGAATGTTGGCTTGGTCTGTCATTGCTGATTCGATCTATCCGAAGTCCGATCTAAAACTGAAAATTCTGTTTGAGCCCCCTTCCTAGCGCGCCAATTGTTAATAAGTGAATATCGACAAGGGGCAAAACAGTAATTTAGATCAGTAAACTCGGGTTTTATTAGTTCGATCAAAGAATACAACTGAGTTCGGTTAATAACGAACTAAGACTTTATGAAACTAAGAAAATATTGAGTTCTCAGTATCTAAGTCTTCTCTGGAATTTCTTGTGTCTTCTGATGTCGATTCCTCTTCCTTTATATATGTCTTCCAAGTCGGTCATTGTGCACATCTTCCGCGATATGGGACCGAGAAGACTTTCCTTTTCTCTCGGTCCTTTTCCTTTTCTCATGACGATTTCCTTTCTTCTCGTCGGTTTCCTTTTTCTATTCGGAAACTTTCCATTTTCCTCCGAACTGATATATTCATAAATTGCATCATTTAATGTACATATTCTAGTCAAAATCATGTCTCATTTGCATGCATTTTAGGTCTTTAGGCATTGTTTTAGGACTTAGGAGATTGCATTAGGTCCAAGAGAGTTTTGCATGTTTTGGAGTGTTAAACAGGTGCTTTTGGAGCCAATTTGGAGTGGATGATGTGATTCAGATGAAGAAATGGAGTTGGAATGATCAAAAATGGTGAAAAGGAGCAATTTTGGGTTTCTCGGCAAAATGGTGTACTGAAGGTCGAAGGTTCTCGACCAAAATCCTTCCCGCGGGTAGCTTTCTCGGCCAATAACACGTACCACGGTCAAGTCTCTCGGCCAAAATCTCCGGGTGCAGACACGTTTCCGAAATCGCCTGTCCGGGGAACCTTCCGGTCAGATTTAGCTGTCGGAGTCTTCATAAAGGTTGGAGATAATTGAGTCAAGAGTTCATAACAGTTGGAATCAAGGCATTTGGACCACAGAACTGAAAGATATGGTAATCGGAAGACGAACAGGTCTCGCACTCATTCCGGAGCAATCCGATACCCCTGAATGATCGCCTGTCCGGGGAACCTTCCGGTCCGATTTAGACGGCGGGTGCTTCATAGAAGTTGGAGAGCATTGCATCACGGTCTCTTAGCAAGTAGAATCGTGGAATTCGGACGCGTGAGCAGAGAGATAAGCTTGTCGGAAGGAACCCCAGTCTCGCAGGTATTCCGGACCGAGCAGATCAGTTCTAAAGGATGCGAAGGACGGTGCACTTCCAGGCCGATTTAGTTTCCGGGTCCTTCATGAGAACCATAGACATTTGAGTCTTCTTTCCAGAACGTCCAAGAGCATTCAATTCGGATCTATGAGCAGAAAGATACAGTCTCCGGAATGGACACATGTCTAGACGCCTCTCTCTGGTCGTGTACATGCACTGCAAAGATGTGCCCTCCAGGAAGCCTTACACTTCCCAAGCACCGAAGCTTTCTTCACAAAAGTTGGAGATAAATGAGTCCTCTATCTTCTGCAACCGAAATCATTCAATTCGGACAAGTATCATAGGAGTTACACTCTCCGGAATGCGAAGTGGTCTAAGCTGCTCTGGATGCTGCGAGTTGGAGAGGAAGGAGACCAAGCCGCAGCAACACTCGCAAATCACTCCGACTTGAGCCTGCGACCTAGGTGCAATAGAGACCAACCCGCACAGTTTGTACATTCCCCAGAAACCGCCTTAGCCCTGCGAGTTGGAGAGGAAGGAGACCAAGCCGCAGCAGCACTCGCAAAACACTCCTACTTAGGCGTGCGGCTAAGACAAGGCGATTCAGGCTTCACAAGACAAGTCTTCATCTACTGCGACTTAGGTGTGCGACCTGGGACATACTGGACTGACCCGCAGGATTTCCACTTGACCCAACTGAGCCGGGTCAGTACCCAGTTTGTCCTGGGCTGACCCGGTCCATTAGCACTAGGTATATATAGTTTTTTGGGAGAAAAAAACCAAGTATGTTATCTTCTCACTTAGTTTCTCTCTAGTTTTCTTTCCTTTTTAGTGTAAAAACGTTTTGGATTAAGAGAGATCTCAAGGATTTAATCAATCTAAGTCTGTTTGTCATCATCTCATCATTTCATTTCTGCTTCTAATCATGATTAACATCATCTCTTGCAAAAGATTAGATGTGTTCTTCATGATTAGTGAGTAGTCATCTTTTAAACTTCTAGGTGTGTAGATTAGGGTGCTTAGATGTTTGATTGGTGATGTTTAGGGTTTAGATTCTCATTCCATTTCCTTAGTTAGTTGCTCCTAATGCCAGATTTCCTTGGGAAAGTGAAATCTGGGTTCATAGGCATTTCATGCACCAAAAGTGTTTGATGAAATGCCTGAATGAGCTAACTTAAGGGTTTATGCCTTTTTCATCATGGGAATGATTTGTTAAATGCATGAATGACATATTAGAACTGTTTCTTAATGCTCATTGATTCATATTTCACAAATGATGATTTGGTTTGAAAGTGGATTAGTGTAGAGATTAATGTCTTCATGAGAGGATTAGTCTAGATTAGAGTTCTAAGTTGAAATGTTTGAGATCATGTGATTGCTTGTTATGTCTTTCTGTATAAGATTCAGTCTTCTTGGTTGAGAGATTGTTTGGTCACTTATTAGGCTTGATGCATTATGCTTGCTGATTGCTTGATTATATCTAATGGTTGTTAGACTTGATTAAGTGATTTGCAAAGGGATTATTGTCATGGGAATAAATTAATCTGATTAAGAAGCCTAGACTAAAGAGTAGCAAGTGTTGCATTATGTTCTTAGCATCATGATTCAATATCTAAAGCACCCTAATCAATGATCACATCTAGAGGTTTAGCTTTTATCATTTGCTTAATCACCATCATCTTGTTTTGTTTGCTTGCTTAGTTCATTAATCATAGCTTGTTTGTTTCTTGTTTTATGCTTTCTTGTTGCTGGTTTCACAAAACTCATCTTTGATTACTTGACTTAAGAACCTATCACATAAACTAGTGCCTAACTACCACACATATGGATTGACACCCCTTATACTACTTTGACAAGGGGATTGATAACCCATCTAAGGCTTTAAAAACCTTAGTTATCACGAACTCAGAGAACTTCTCAGTTCCTTTGAGAAGTTTCTGACCGACTTTGGCTTAATGGGCTGCGTTCGGCCCGAGAACTCACTCGGCCCAATATTCCCGGTACATTTCCTTCGTAAACCGGACTTACGTCGTGCCGATCTCAGTTTGTACCGGAGAAAACCGGGGGTGCGGTTTTCACCTCCAAAAATGTCCTCAACGCAATCGCGGTTTATAGTCTCTTTGAGTAACGGCTTGACCAACGAGCCTGAAGAGAAGCTTACCTTCTTCTTCTCGTTTGCACACGAGGGAGAGGAGTCTTCTTCTTTGGTACCCAACTTCGAGATGGCCATACCAGTGGGATCGGCATTCGACCCAGAGTTTCTAGCTTCTCACCATGGCTTCCTCAATGTTTACACTGATCGTGGTTTGATGGTTTGTAACCCTAGCACGGAGCAAGTCATAAAGCTACCCAGGTACACCCTCCAATTCGTGGGATACGATCCCATTGGTGGTCAACACAAAGCTTTATCTTTACGTCCGAAAGATGGTAATCCAAGTACTGGTCATGTACTGCACAAGGTGTTAACATTTGAAGGATGTCAAGGTTGGAGAGACATTGAAGGTACCCTTGTTCCATATATGTCGTTATCAGTGGGAGTATGCATCAACGGTTTTATCTACTATGGCGCTTTTGCCTCCACCGATTTCAAGAATCCAGTTATGGTGTGTTTTGATGTTAGGTCTGAGAAATTTAGTTTTATCCAAGCCCCTCCGCCTGTCATGTTCTGGCGCAAGGATTCGATATTCATAGAATACAATGGGAAGCTAGCTTCTATTGTGAGAATACCTCGTTCTCGGTTCCGTAGTTTTGATTTGGGGATACTAGAAGACGACGAGAAACATGAATGGTCAAAGCAAACATGTGTGTTTCCCTCCTCTGCGTGGGATTCTGTTCGGAGCAACAAAACGTGTTTTTCAGGCACCAACAAGGCTGGTGAGATCATTATGGTCCCAGACGTGTTGTCACCCGAGGTCCAACCCTTCTACATTTTCTATTACAATGTCAGAACAAACAACGTCAGAAGAGTTAGGCTTCTAGGATTTGGAGACAACGAAGAGTTTAGACGCTCTTATGGATTCGTGGACAAACTAGAATGTTATGTCCGTCTCGCACCTCAACACGTCGACAGTATTGCCTTTCTTAAGAATCATGCAACCTAACTTGAAGTCCTTATGTAAGAGAGCATGGTAAACTCTGGCTTTTTGTTGTTATCTACTTTTATTTTCGACATTTTAAGTGTTGATGTTTAAACACCAAACAAGCTAATTTATTTAGCTGTTTGTGTTTTCATTGAGTGATGTATTACATTTGTATCATATGATGATGTTTTAGCCTTTTTAGCATTTTTTTTTCTGGGGGCCGGGGGGAAATTGAGCTAACAAAATCATACACACGCAGTTAATCTACGGTCATGGAAACTGCTGAATCAAAACCAGATAGGGTATATGATCTTTAGTAATAAAAAATTGTTTGGTTTTGAGACATTCACCGAACAAAACCAAAACACCAAGTCAGTCCATTCGTCTCTCTTGTGTGAACCTGCGTTGTTTTGTATATGTAAAACCTCAAAAACATGTGTAATGACCGTTGAGTTAGTTGAATACGTGTTGGCGTGTCTAATGGCCGAAGAAAGGTGACGATGAGCAGTGCAAAGATGCAATGATGTCAGATCCTTGGCCTTCAAAACGGCGGCGTTGTTGCTATCGCTGCTCCTTTTAAATAAATCCAGGCTTGTCTGAAATTCTATGATGATCAACAACTCTTGTTTTTTTTAAAAAAAAAAGCAATGTTTTGTACATTTCTATTGATTACATCTCTTTAGTACATTTTCTATGTGTGAAAGAGAGCTCTTGATTTGTGTTGTTCTTGATGATGTATTTTTTCCAAAGGGCAGAGCTTGAAAGAAGCAAAGATGGCAATGCAACTAGTAGAACTGTGCTCTTGGTCACCGATGAGATCTGTGTCTCGTGGTGCATCCATGTTCAGGATATCGATATACCTTCCCTGAAATGGTGTGTGTTGATGGAATCAACCTCTACAGATTTTTCGAGTGACTATAACCAATGTATGTTTTATTTATGAACCTTATAAACTCAACAACTGTTAACAGATCGCTAAGATGAGAGCAAGCCTAAGGGTGTGGAGAAGAGTTCTTCTTTCCAAAGAAGAGAGCGATCTCAAGACAAAGCTTGAGGAAGCCATTGTTGAAAACACTCTCTTCAAGAAATTGAAGGAAATACCAGAAATGTCATCTAGAAATTGAAGGAAACCCCAGAAAAGAGCAATACCCCATCAGTTTGGAAAAGAGGAGAGTGAAAATTGAAATCCCAAATTCAAATTTAATTGAATCCAAAATTATTGAATATAAGCTTCAATTTTCTCTCATAACTTATTGAGAATCTTTTTGCTGTGATAAAGTAAAATAAACCAAACAAATCTTTTGTTTTTTTGATTTCTCCTCTTTTGCAACTATTAATAATGGGCCTAACTCACACCCAAAAGCTAGCTCATGAGTGGAGGATTGCCACACACTTATATATTGTCTACAAATTTCTTTATTTGTCGATGTGGGACACTAACATCCCTCTCACGCTCAGGATTAGACATCTGAAGCGTGGAGTTTTGTGAGACTGGACATCCACGGATGTGGCCACAATCGAACAATTAGAACGTTGGGCTCTGATACCATATTAATAATGGGGCTAACTCACATCTAAAAGTTAACTCATGAGTGGAGAATTGCCACACATTTATATATTATCCACAAATTTCTTTATTTGTCGATGTGGGACACTAACAACGACACTCATAAATTAATGTAGTTTAGATAACAAAGTTTGGAGAAAACTCATTCTCTCTTAATTCAACAAGAAGCTCAAAGCTTTTCCTAGTTTCTACAGATTCACAACAGCTTTTGATCACAATCCCGAAGCTATACACGCCTAAACCAACTTTGCTCTTGTTTTCGTTGAAGAAACCCAAAATTCTTGATCCAACAACTTGATTTTTGGGAACAAAACAAAATTATTCTGGTTTAGTTATTGGGTGGATTTAATTTTGGTTTACCAATTTTATTTGGGTTGTAATTCGGTTTAGTATTGTTTTTTGGTGGTTAATTTTCTTTTGGTAAACAATAAACGGACTTAAATTATGATTTATGTACTTTTTCGCTTTTTGTTTTGAAATTTTATTTTGTGGGTAAATAGATTTCAAACTTTTCAATCGAGGAGATATAAGTTTTTAACTTTCTCAAATTAAAAGGATCTAAGACGAGATTGAAAGTTTGGATGAATCTATTACTATATAATACTTCGGAAATACGTTATTTGATCAACAAAATAACTCTATTTTTGGTAAAAACAAATAATTAACTGGGTATCTGAAATTTGTTCAAAATCAACATCTTACACGAAACAGAAGCGGAAGCTTTAAAATGGGCAATTTTAGCCTTGAGGAATTTAGGGTATAAGAAAATCATCTTCGAATCTGGTTCTAAAGAGCTTATCACGACGATCATTGAAGAAGTAACATGGCTATTTCTCAACACCTTATTTAACGATATATCAGTTTTGTTCCTTCTTTGAGGAGATTTGTTTTGAATTCCAACAAAGATATGAGAACCGAGTGGTAGATAGGATAGCAAATAAGTTTTTTTTTTTTTCAGAATTATGCTTCTAAGTTGTATTATAAAGCGTTTTAACCATCATGTGGACTAGAACAATCAATTGTAATTTCATATGGGTTAATTCAGAATCTAGTTGTTGAACCAAAAAAAAAATCAACATATTACATAATTTGTATTTCAATTTGTAATACAAATGCTAGATGAGTCAGATAATTTGTATTACAATTTTTTTTACCACCAAAATCAACATATTATCAAAATTTTCAAGGCGCTCATTACATATATATATACAATAGCAGATGTTACAAAAAAAAAAAAATCCCTAAATTCATTAGAGGAGAGATGAAAAGAATAAATGGGAAATAAATAAAGAAATGCATTAGGAGCCAAAGGTCCAAGCAATAAAAGCGTGCCACGTTGTGTTGTCTCGATGCAATTAATTTTTTCTCAAACGAAAAAAAAAAAAGCTGTAACGGCTAGCCTCTGATATTTCATTTCGAATTCCCCCCCTTCTTGTATTCTCCTTCTTCATCTTCAACCTCGAAACCATAGAAATTCTCTGCGAAATCAGCATTTTGCTCTTTTTTTCCTTGCCAAATCCAGAAAAAGTCTCATCTTGATCCGATTCTTTTCTTGAGAGTGACGATGCGGAGCGAGAGGAGAATCGACGAACCATCAGAAAATAGAACGAGAATGAATCTCTCGCAAGAAGTCGACGACTACATCAAAGACACAATTGATCACTCGTTAGGTCTTCCGATCTCCATGGAAGCTCTCCAGAAAAAGCTCTACACGGCAGAAGAATCCCAGCGCCGTCTCCGAGATCAGTATCTGGCTCTGGTTTCTAGATTAAAGGAGAAAGATGATGTAATCGACCGAGTTAGGGTTCGTAAATTCGTACTGAGTCTCTCTTTTTTTATCTCTCTTTCTGGGCTTTGAGATCTGATCTTGTTTTTTGCTCGATTTTTAGTCCGAAGCGAGTATGAATGCGCAGGCGTTGAAGAAATTCGTCGACGAGAACCAGAAATTGGCTGCAGAGTGTGGGAATTTGCTGGGCCAGTGTAAGAAATTGGAAAGAGAGTGCTTGCTTTATCATCAAGACCGTGATGCGTTGATGGAATTCGGGAATGAATCGGATGAGAGGGCTAGAGAAGCAGAAGCTAGGGTTCTTGAATTGGAAGATGAGTTAGGAACAATGTCTGAGGAATTGCAGATTTTTAAGCGACAAATCGGGACTGAAGAAGTAAGAATTTTCTTCGATTGCCCTTAAAGAAAATTAGTTTTCTTTTGGTTAGGCTGTTCTTGGTGAATTGAGATTTCTCAAAGTGTAGATTCATTTTCGTGTTAATTCGCAGAAAGTCTTTGAATATGTAGATATATGATCTGATTGATGCACTTGAAAGAGACGCTTTAGAAGTAAGATAACCTTGATTTTGGGACTTAGGGATCCATTATTTGGTTAGGCTGTTCTTGATGAAATAGTTTCTCAAGTGCTATTGCTTTCTCTATCAAGTTGGTTTCTCACAAATTGATTTCTCATTGATTCATTAACCCATCCATTTTGTGTTGCCTCGATGAAAGTCTTAAATTTTTTAGATATTATCTCATTGATGCACCTGAAAGAGACACTAATGCTAGTCCACATGAAGTTTATCGATTAATTATCAGTTAGCTCGTAGTCTACCTTCTATATCAAGTGGATAAAGGAACTTGTAAGGTGTTGGATTGTCTATGATACTTGAGATTTTGCTTGATGTATCTTTCTGTATCCTTGTTGAGGGGTTTATTTTACTTGCTCATAAGATGTGTAGCAATTTGTGTCATTTCGAAAGATCTTCATCAGCTTACAGATGATTTCTATTTTCATTTTTGTCCGTTTAAAGGTTGAAAAGTGCACACCATTAGAAGAAGATTTGCTTGATTCAGTTTTGGGATCACTCATAAGCAAAGATGAAACTATAGTGGGGCGTCTCTTCTTAGAGGCTAACATCCAAGACCACTCATGCCAAACCTTGTTGAGCAGGTGGGATCAACTAAAGCCTTCAACGCAAAAGGTTATTTCTTTAGTTTCAAGGGCAAGGAAATTTGAAAAAGAAAAGGAATGCATCATCCTGAATCTCACTAAAGCCGAGCAAGAGGTAATAATAAACCATTACACTTACACACACCTCTTGTTCTTGCACATAACTATCAGTAAGTCTTATAAAAAGGATCTGAAAAAAACATTCCACTTGACCCCTTCAAAATTTAAACAGGTTGAGCTTGTGAGCACGCAAAACCGGAAGCTGGATAAAGAAAATCGTAAGTTGTTAAGGCAACAAAGCCCTCTTGGCTCTGCAGAGTCAAGCCGCAAAAGCGAATTTGCAAAGGTAAAGAGGTCACAAAATGAAAAGCAGCTATGGATTATCTTAGACAGCTATATGTATTCTATTTGATCTAACTTAGAGATGGTTTTATGTAACCAGTCAAATAAGAGAAAGAGTCCGAAGATGATGGGCAGCCCAATCGAGAAGAGGCTTGAGTTTTGCACAAGTCCAGAAATTAGCAGGAAGCCTCTGTCACCTGTGTGGAATAACTCACCAGAAATTAGCAGGAAATGATGACAAATGAATCAAATATGTCTTTGTATTATCATGTGTGTGTTTTGTAGGAAGGAGAAGCCAGATTCAGATTACATTGTCGCTTACTTACCAGCATGTATTGCTATAAAACATTTGACTAGAAGATCAAGTTTCTAACTCACCAGAAATTAGCAGGAAGTGATGACAAATGAATGAAACATGTCTTTGTATTATCATGTGTGTGTTTTGTAGGAAGGAGAAACCAGATTTGTTACATTGTCGCTTACTTACCAGCATGTATTGCTATAAAACATTTGACTAGAAGATCAAGTTTCTAACTTATGACAAGCTTCTACAAGAAAATTGTGAAACCTCCCAAGCTTTAAATTGTTTTAGTTAAGCACGGACTAAGAAGATTTTTATGAAGATAATGAGTCTAAATATCAAACATGGTTTACCTTCATCTACAAAAAGTCCTAATAAAATGTTGTGAGCTAACAAGTCTAGCTAAGCAAAAACAGAAACAGTCCAAAGATGGAGGACGAGCTTCTGTTTTTGCCTAGAGTGGGTTGGTTATTGATATTTATTATATTTTTGCAGCTGAAAATACTATTATTCGATCATTCGATCATAGCCTCATCAAACCACTTCCAATATAGCACTCTCCATCCTACACCAAAAAAATAGTCGTAGAAATTTTCCATTTACACAATGTGTAACTGAAATGAAGTAGTTTACTTACATCAATGTTTGAACATGCGTTAAACAGCCTCCCAGGACACGTTAGGTGGTTCACTCGGCATGAATCGATTATTGCCTTACAGTTGAGACAATGGTTGATGGCTGGGTGTAGCTGTAAGGCATCTTATCTGTTTTCAAATGAAGAAACAAGTCAATACTCTCGGAAACCTAAGATGAATCAACAAATACAAACCAAAAAACACATAACGCATCTCTATCTCTACCAAATTAAAGCAACAACCACAAATTCTTGAGCAATGGAGAATTCATGACAGTAACAAGTTCACAACAGTAACAAATTTAGGGTCGAAGCAAACTCAATAAAATGTCGAATCACAAATTCTATAGAATAAATGGTCAAATGATTCTCGAACTTACCTGATCAGAAGGAATGATTAATGCACTCGCAATCTCGTCTCACTCTCAATCACAATCTCCTCTTGCTAAAAAAAACCATAGTTTTATCTCTAAATCGGTTTTGACCACAATTTCTTCCTTTGGACCATGATTTCTCTTTTTTTCTTTTTTAATAATTAAGAGGTTGTGGGGCTAAACCCAGTACCAAAACATGTGATATGGTTTGGTCCCAAAAACCATTTTAAACTTCTAAACTTTGCCTAAAATCTTTATCAGATGACCTATTGGTTCTTGGTCATGACTTCTCTTTAAAGCAATGTTTCATTCAATTTAGCTTTCCAAAACAAAGGTTGTTCGCAAAATGAGTGATATAAAGTCTGTTAGACTAGAGTGTTATTTTATGATTTGATTCTAACGTAGAAATGTAATTCTGACAAATTTCATACAGATTAAAAATTTATAAAATACATAAATATATCCGTAATAAATTTACTAATAATTGAGTGTTAATGATTGAAATTCACATGTTATACAGTAATTTTTAAAAGAGGGATAAAACATAAATTAAGTGTACAAAATTGTATTGGAAATGTAGAATGAACATTTTTTGTAAAACAAAAAAACAAAAAAATCTAATTAAATTGACATTCTTTTTTATGAAACAGAAGGAATAAAAAGAATAGAGAATAAAAAAACATTTATGTCTCGTACTAGAACAAAAAAAAAAGGCACTTCTAATTTCTAAACGACGTTGTTGCTTGATGGTTTAACCCAAAATAAAAAAGTCAGCTGCGAAGTATACTTTCTTATCCAAACACTCTCTCTCGCTCGCTCGCATGGCTCTTCTTCGTCTTCCTCCCATTTCCCTCCAAATTCTAGGTCACCAATCTGACCAAAAATGCCCGAATCCCAGATTTTCGCTCAGGAATTTCTCTCTCAATTGGTCTACTGCCTCACTATCTCGTCTTCATCGTCATGAGACGTTTCTAGACTCAGTTCCAGCAAAATCCAGAAATCTTACCACTTACTTCTCCTCTACTACCCAAGAGCCAATCCTCGAATCTTCTTCTTCTTCTTCAACTGAAGAAGAGATTTCTAAAACCAGATTGATTGCTCAGAACGTTCCATGGACCTCTACACCTGAAGACATAAGATCGTTGTTCGAGAAATTCGGGATTGTCGTCGACGTTGAGGTTTATTCTCGTTTCCTTGAATCTTTTTTTATTCTTTTTTCCCTTAATTGATTCGTTTTTCTGTCGAGTTTTGTAGATGTCTATGCATAAGAAGGAAAGAAACAGAGGTTTGGTTTTCATTGAAATGGCTTCTCCTGAAGAAGCTGCAACAGCTCTCAAAGCTCTCGAATCATTTGTAAGAACATATCATTCTCTTCCACAATCTCTAAAATTGGGACAGAATCATAAATATAGTTCTCTCACTGGGTTCTGTTTCCCCAATTGCTGTGTACATTGTGTGTTATTAGGCTCTTTCAGGTTGTGTTTTTATGTTGTTGTTGTTTCTTGGTCCCTTTCTCTTTCTTTGATCTTTCATTTTTTTCATTGAATTGTATGAAAGCTCATAGCATTCTCTTCCTCAATCTCTAAAACTGGGAAAGTTCTCTCCTTTAGTTGTGGTTGTCTCATACTATCCGACTTTACTTTAGCACAAGTTGTACATTTTTGTGTCATTGGTGATTCGTCTATTTCAGGCTTTGATCTTCATTTTTTTTCATTTGAATTGTGTGTTCTTTTTTTTAGGAATACGAGGGTCGTCGTTTGAAGGTAGACTATGCGAAGACCAAAAAGAAGAAAACATATGCGCCGCGCGAGAAGCCTACCGCTGTTCCTACATTCAATTTGTTTGTTGCGAACCTGTCTTTTGAAGCAAGGGCCAAGCATCTTAAGGAGTTCTTTGATGCAGACACTGGAAACGTTGTGTCCACTGAAGTTATATTCCATGAAAATCCGAGGAGGTCGAGTGGCTACGGGTTTGTCTCTTTCAAAACCAAGAAAATGGCCGAGGCAGCGCTCGTTGACTTCCAAGGAAAGGTAATTCCAAGCTTACTCTAAATGATGATGATCTAATCAAGCTTTTAAAAGCGTTCTAGGCTCATAAATTTTGAGCAAATTTGTTGCTAATATATACTCTTCTGCCGTAGTGTTGAGTTAAATCCAAAGTCCAAGAGAGTGTTTGTTTTTTGTTTGATTTGTTTCTGATACTATTTGAGCTACACTAAATCGTAATGATCTAATTTGCTTTAAAAGCATTATAAGCTGATCAGTTAAGTGAATATTGACAATGGATCCAAAGTCCAAGAGAGTGTTTGTTTTTTTGTTTTTGGTTTATCGTTGGTGTGTTTCTGATACCATCTACCATAAACAGACCCAAAAACCGAATTTTCCTCGTGTTTAGACCCTTTATGCATCAATGAGCTGTTTTAAAGGGTAGATACAATAACGAGAATATGGACTATAATCCCAAAATTGTAGAACAGTAGTGCTTCTAATAACAGCCTTAGAAAATGAGTTGATTTAATTGGTGTAGTATTAACATTACACAGGATTTCATGGGAAGACCAATCCGATTAGCTCGTAGCAAACAGTTTGTGAAGTTGCAAGCTAAAGAAGGGTTGCAAGCAACTGATGAGGAGGAACCATCTCAGCCTGAGACAATGACACTAGAGAACGAATCTCCGGCTGCAGAAAACTGAAAAAGGTAAGCTTCATTGGCTTCATTTCCTGGCTTTATTTGTATCATTAACTCGAAGGCTCTAAATTGATCAAATCAGTATATATACATTAGTCTGTGTTGCAGGATCTAGTAAGAAGTACAAGACCGATCTAGTAAGAACTGGAAACTAGCGTCGTCAGTTTCAGATCAGATAAGTCCCAAGAAACAAAACCTATGTGGCTCTGAGAACTTGCTCAAGAAACCAAAACTTAAGTGGATCTGAGAACTTGCTATGTTAAGTTAACACATTGCTCTTTTTGTTTATCATTTGGTTTCCATTGATTGTTTGCAATTGTTTTCTCAAGAAACCCTGAATCTTTAGTACCTATATATAAGCTATTACTTCAATGCAAAAATGTATCTTTCACAGAATGTTACAAAATTTAAAGAACAACACTTTGACTTATCGACAGTGTGAAGTGAAGTCAGAAGCAGCACTGTCTGCAAGGATCACGTATCAACAGCCTCAAGTCTTTAGAATCTAACTCCTCTTCGAATCTTCTGTGAGCTTTTTTTAGGAGTCTCAGAATATTAGCCAAAGGTCCGTTGCTTCGACTCTCGTCTCTCTCCTTCTCGGCGTAAGATTTGGACTTCTTCTCGTCTCTGAAATACATGTACTTGGTGATCTCCAACAAGTTTCTCTTGTGATGAGGCCAGCCTCTCTCGTATCATCCACAATGACCACTCTACGCTTATCAACCACAAGAAGATCAAGTGTCTTCTTAAAAGGGCTTTTTTCTCTGGTTATGACTCGATTTCCAAAGTATACTCTCCCCGGATCTATCAAATTTAACACTGTCTGAGCGTAACTGTAAGAGCCCATTGTGTACACGTACAAAGAGAAAAGCTTGTTGGCTTCTTGTAGAAACTCGCGAACAAAAGGTCGTAACTTTATGAAGTACTCGTTTGGAAGGCCTTTGTCGAACCTCCATAGATCAACCCTTGAATCAACTTCTTCGATTAGATACTTTTCTTTCTGAGTGAGCTGCGAAACAAGAATCGTGTGGAGAAGCGTGTGGTCCAAGTCAAGGACTAGGTGAAGCTTCTTCTCTTTGTTGAGACAGGCCGGTTTGTTTCTTCGTTTATTTTTCTTAAAGAGAGTAGATATTTTCGTAGTAAGATGTTTTGTAAACGCCATAGCTTTCGTTGCTTAAATGTTTTCTCTCGACGGGAATGTAATAGCGTTGACGAAGGAAAAAAAAAACCTAATTTGATCGGAACCCTCGAAGAAAAACAATGAGTGATAAATGAATTTGATCATTTGTATAAATAAATAGAGAGGAGAGATTCAAAAATTGGAGTAGAGTAACGAAAAATGGAAATCTCAATTTGATTTTCCTTTTCTGAAAGTACTTTTGCCTTTTTGGTCTTTGCTGTGTTAACGGCTAATTTTAATTATGTTTGACTATTGTATCCTCTACACACTTTCAACATTATTAATGCTACTTAAACCGTTACATGTACATGTGCGTAACTGTGTGGGTTGCGTAACTGTGTGGAGTCTATCTATATGTATATCCAATTTTTTTTTTCTTTCGAAAATTACAGAAAGGGAGTGTTTTAACGATTTTTTTTCTGTAAATAAAACTTATTATTGGTTAATGTAAGTTTTGAAACTAAATATTAAAGATTTTAATATTAAAACTGTAAATTTTCTATAAGATTACAAAAATTTTGAAATAATTGTGTGAGTTTTTTCCGTACATATAATCTTGGAAATCAAAGTTTTAAACAATTATCTATGTAGATTTAGATTAGTTTTGAGTTTCTATTTGCGAGAGATTGTATAAGAGAAAAAGAAAGAGTACTAATGCCCCTTCTATTTTTTTTTCAAAAAAATAAAAGGTGTTTTTAGTAATTCTTTTTTTGTTATAAAATTTATGTTATTTTATATGTTAAACAAAGTTAAACTTTACTTATATCCAGTGCTCGAATATTCGCAGGGCGCTAGGCGGGCGGAAGCTCACAGATTACTGCTTGGCCGAAAGTTGGCGACTAATCACAGACTAATCGACGATTAGTTTTGTGAGAATTTTTTTTTATTATTTTTTGGTGTTTTAGACTTTAAGTTAAGTTATGTTTATTAGTCCTTTTTTTGTAGAATTCTCATATTATGTTAAAAATTGTGTATGTGAAGTAGTAGATTGAAATTATTATCATATGTATAAACATAAAATGCAATGTGAAATCCATTTTAAAACTTATAATGCATTCAGAAACCAATAACAAAAGTAGTGACACAATATTCAAAAGACAAAAATGAAGTTCAATCACATGATGATACAAAAAATAATAGATTGTCTTGATCATGAGAATACAAAAAAAAGTCAAAGGATAAGCCAAATCTCCATCCTTTCCATCTCCAATGATCAAGTTATCATGTGTTTTGCACTTCTATGTCTTTGATAAGTCACAACTGAAACCTGTTGAAAAAAATAACAAGTGAATGAATCATGGTTTGAAGAACAAGTGGTATATGTTTGGTGAAAAATGCAAATGGACCATGAGAACAAGTCATTACTAGACACAAATAGTAAGCCATTCCTAGACACTAACAAACACGAGACCAGTCACAAGTCATGCCTAGACACTAAACCAGTCATGAGTACAAATCTATTACAGATCATGAGTACAAATATCAAACACGAGACAAGTCACAAACTCCAAGCAGCAAAAACCAAGAGACATAAAACCACCGAGACATCAAACAACAAAAACAATAAAGACAAAGAGTTTAAGAACATTAACTAACCTGCTAACTAACTTTGAGAGTCACGAAACAGAGGAACCTCTTGGTATAGATCAGGTTCGAAGTCCATATCATCAAACTCTTCTGGTTCAGAATCAAAGTCATCATCGTAAAGAGTTCTTACACTTGGAACTTGGGTGGCTAAGATAGCATTCATTTCAGTCTCTTGTTCTTCTATACGCGGGCCAACTATCCAATCTTCAACTGTATCTTCATTTCCATCTTCGAAGATCACATCCGAGTTTTGCTCTCTGATTTTTTTCTGCTTGTTAAACAACCTTGCATTAAACTGAACGTAGACTAGATTGTTCAACCGATGAACATCTAGTCTATTTCTTTTCTTAGTGTGTATCTGCATTAAAAATAAGTTTCATTACAAGTACAATAAAAAAGAGTTTGTGAAACAGAGTAAAGGTGATAGTAGACTTACCCCTTCAAAGCTACTCCAATTACGTTCACAGCCCGAAGAAGAAGAGGTCAAAGACAGAATTCTGGTTGCCATTCTTTGCAGTGTTGGTGCACCACATCCATAAGTGGCCCACCAATTCCCTACGATGCATCAAGAGACATCATTAACATTATTTAGTGACAAATGAAACCAAATGCTAACCAAATGAGAATACAGACCTGGATCGAATGACTGATCTTTCACTTCACAGCCTTTTAATGCTAATGCTCTACCAAACGACCCAGTTTTGGTCTTGTACATATTGATTTCATGATTCACAACCTTATTTTGCTTCTCAAAGTCACCATGATAGAAAATTTCTACACAACTCAAGAACCCTTCGATGACTTGCAAATCATATTGGATATTGGTGTCTTTGTAGAAGTAATAAGGATTGAGGAAGTATGCAGCAACATGTAAAGGAGAATCCAATCTACCTTTCATTTTTTCATCAATGATCTGAAAGATAGGTTGGTAATTCCTTTCCACATTATCAGAAGCTTCCATTATAGCCTTCTTAGCTTCCAATATCTCACCATATATAAACCCCATATAAGGAATTCTCTCACCATCTGCCAACCTTAGAACTTTCACCAAAGGACTGAAGATCTTCAATACCGACATCACTGAATTCCAGAATACAAAACTCATTACAGTATCAAACACACTCTTGCCCTTCACTGAGTGCACTCAGACCAGTCATCGCTTGTAAACATGGATTTCAGCTGAGCCTTCTTCTCGTACAAGCTATGAAGAGTTAAAAAACATGTAGCAAACCTTGTTGCTCCTGGTCTGACAATGTCTCTCTTCTTAGTGTATGTTCTCATCAGCGACAATGTCTTGTGGTGAGCATAAACAAAAATGGTCAAAGCCTTTGCTTGATCAATCACCTTAGCAAAACCATAAAGCTTAGACACTCCCTCAAACATTAAATCCATTGTATGAGGTGCACATCCACTCCAAAATATACCCGGTCTCTTCTCCTTAAGCATCTTTGCAGCTGAAACATTGTTGGTAGCATTGTCAGTAACCACTTGCACAACTCTTGAAGCCCCTACCTCTTCAATGCACTTGTCGACATAGTTGAAGATATATTCACCTGTGTGAGCATCTTTGGAAGTGTCTTTGGAGGAAATGAAGCATGTACCTCCTTTTGAATTGACACAAAAATTCATTATGCTCCTCCTTTTCATGTCTGTCCACGCATCAGTCATCACCGAGCATCCATCTTTATCCCATTCTTCTTCAAGACTCTTCAGTTTTTATTTTGTCTTCTGATATTCTTCATTCAGCAGTGGTTCTCGTAACTGATACTGACTTGGTGGCACCCATCCTGGACCAAATTGTCCCAAAGCTTCACAGAATAACCTAAATGGTTCATTGTCGATTGCACTAAAAGGAATACTTGCCTGATAAAGCCACCGAGCACAGTATTGGCGTACAGCATGTGTCTTCTCTTTAGAAATGGCATCATGGATGCTCTGCTGCCGTTTCTGAGCAGCCAACGAAGCTTCTGGATCAATGAAGCCTGCAAACCGATCAATTGGACCTTGGAAATGAGGTGATCTAAGTGGTCCAAGATCTCCTTCCAGTTCATCAGTAGCTTCATTGTCGACATTTACCTCAGCCCGTAAAGCCTCTTCACTCTTCCTTTTCAAACCTTTCCTCTCATTTACTCCGTTAAGTGCATTCATACACTTATTTTTATCCACCTGAGTTGATCTTGGACAAGAAGCCACTGCCCCTTTCTTATGCGCTATGTGTTGCTTCAGTCTGTGAATTCCACCGGAGAGCTCCTTACTACATAGCTTGCACTTGATTTTGTCTGGAGAGGATCATACAATGTCCCATACTCCCATCCAACATCGGTGGAATTTCGCTTAAGAGAAGGTGAGGTTTCAGGTGGTGGATCAGCCATAACGTCCTAATCAAGCTAATAAAGGTGGTTTAAAAAGTTTAAGTTAGATGAAGAAAGGTTCTGAGAAAAGAATCGTAACCAATGATCATTGGTTAGGGAGTTAGAGAGTTAGAGAGTTAGAATGATTTTAAAAGGTTAGAGTGAAGACTGTTACAATCACAGAAGTAAGAGTTTGAGAGGTTAGAATGATTTTGAAAGAGAGGTTTGAAGATTTAAGGATGTCGGAGATTTTGAAAGAGAAGTTTAAAGATT